CTAGCTCCTAAAGCACCAAAGTGACTTGGAAACCCCTTTCAATTTTGACAAACTTTCTTGCATAATCACTTTTGCCATGTGAATAGAAGTTATTATGGATGATAATAAGAAACCATAACAATAATAACCACTTTTAAATATTAAGAATTTATATAGTTATACACTTGTGATCAAGGAATCAAGAACTTGTCCAATTAGGTAAAACTTCTTCAATCAACCCTTGTATCTTTTTACTTTCTTTGACAAATTGAGGCATGATGAATCGTAGTAGACCTTGTCATGATATTACTTTAAGGAATCCTCATTGATGAAGCTTGAATATCAATGAAGCTTTGTAGAAGAAGGCATGGTAATAAACTCATGAACCTATAAATTAACCTGATGAAATGTGTTGTGCCCTCACCTATAGTATCATCAATTAGAGCAAACATTCATTGTATTTGTTATTTAAAATTTAATCAATACAAAACATATACAAATCAAGGTGTTTGGTGATTCCTCATGAGCAAACCTAAAGATAGGTAGAAAAACCAAACCCTAGTTTGATCTTGATATGATTGAGTTGGTATGAGATGATAGAGGAATCTTAGGGGAAAAAATTGGGGTACAACGGTAGCTAAACCCCCAACTCTATGGGGTGTCCCTAATTTGATTTTGTAATGAATACAATTATATGTGTGAAACAACAATTTGGTTTAAGTTATATTTGACTTGTTCTCTTACTGTTCTTATTGCTTTCTCTATCGGAAAAATAGAGTTTGATGTGTTGATACAATTAAGTCGGACAGCTATTATTTATGATCTGTTTAAGAATATATTTTATTAGATATTACCTAAGACTAGGGATACCCTTCAATAATCAGAATTTCTTGATATTATAACGCTTGATTTTAACCATAATTTCCTATGGACATAGTAATTAGGTTGAAGGATCAAAGAGTTTCTTCCAGAGGACTTAAGATTAATTACCCTTAAGAGACGATAATATGTTAGTTAAACTAGTTGTTGCACTGTATGGTCGGATTCATTACATAATCGAAGTATACATCGTCCTTAGAATTCTACTCATATCTATTTCAACCATTCGCATGCTTCAATTATTTTATTCACAAATTAGTTATACTTATAACATCCCAAAACCATAGTTTTTGTTTAATTAAAGTGAAAAAGAACTCTATATTAATTTGTAGTCCTTGAGATTGATTTTTGGGAAATTTCCTACTATTATTACATTGTTAAAATAGTACACTTGTTATTTTTCTGATCAAGGTTTTGGTGCCGTTGTCGGAGACTGCCAAAATATAGAGTTCAATTTTAGTTCAATTAAAATTGTATTGGTCATCAACTAAAATTTTATTTCAGTTTTAATTATTATTATTGTATTTTTGTTATTGCTGATTTTTTTTCTAATCTTTGTATGCGAGGAAAGCCCTCAGTTGAATTTCTTTTAGACGCGGAAATCGAAAGAACTTTTCACTTGAGACGCAGATAAGCTCGATTAGCTAGACTAGAACCAGAAGAAGAAGTTCCCTTAGATCATTCAGGTTCAGAGTCTAAAAAGGAAGAAGAAATTATGGGTGAAAACCCCCCCACCCCCAGAGAGACTACTTGGGGACTATGGAGGAGCAAATGCTCCAGCAGGACGGTTGACTATTGTGAATCAACCGGTGAATGTTGCAAATTTTCAGTTGCACCGTTCAACAATCCGACAGCTTGAGAACATAAATTTCACATGGAAGATAAATGAAGATGCAAATAAGAATTTGCAAAGGTTTCTTACTATGAGCACTATTTTAAAGATTGAGGGGCACTCTGAAGAAGCAAAGAAATTAAGAATGTTTTGATTCACGCTTTCTGAAGATGTTGAATAGTGGTTTTACTCATTATCTACTGGGAGTATTACTACTTGGGAAGAGATGGAGAAAAATTTTCTGGATGAATACTTTCCTGCTTCTATTTATATTCCCAAAATATATGATATTGTGAATTTTAAGCAGAAAGAATGATAGTCTCTAGGTGATGCATATAATAGGTTCAAGAGGTTATTGGTAGGTTGTCCCACTCATAATATGGACCAGACTGAACAAATGCAGATGTTTGAAAATGGTCTCTGAATGAAGACAAAATAGCTTATTGATACAGTAGTTGGTGTCTCATCCAACTTTACAACAACCACTAGTGTAAAGAAAATCATTGAAGCCATTGCTGCAAATGAGCATCTGTAGTTGTATGATAGGGTTGCAGGTAAACCAGAGGGAGTGATTGATCTGAAGTTAGAAGTTAACAAGAAAATAAGAATTGAAGAGAAAATTGTTGCAGAAGTGGAGAAAAAGATTAAAGCAATGAACATTGGCACTCAATAGGTAGCTTAGGTTCAACATGCACCAAAGGCAAGTTATGAAATTTTTAGTGGACCACAAATGAGTATAAATTATCTTGCAACTCCACAACAAGTTGAAGAGGTCAAATTTTTTAGGCAGAATAATCCTTACTCGAATACCTACATTCCGGAGTGGAAGAATTATCCAAATTTCTCCTAGAAAGAGCAACAAGGAAATGGCCAAAATCATCAACAAGCTCCTCAGAAGGCAAAGTATGAGGTAGCTATTGAAAAGATGGTTGCCTAAAATTCTCATTTTCAAGAAGAGACAAGGAGAAACCACAGTAACACCACAACGTCAATAAAAAATTTGGAAGTTCAAGTGGGACAAATAGCACAAGAATCATCTTCAGAAGCACAAGGTAATCAGAAAATTCATGACAGTGTTAATGTTGTCACAACAAGAAGTAAGAAGGGGTCAAAAGGTGAAGAAGAGAAGGAATATGATGATCAAATCATAGAGGTAGAGTTGGAAGTGTGAGAAAATAAGAAAAAGCATAAAGAAGTGGTATTACCTGTGAAGCTAACTGAATAAAAGTGTTCAAAGGAGACTAAACCAGTGATTAAGTTGTCGTATCCCTGTCAAGTAGCAAAGAAAGACCCAAAAGAGAAAGACTTTGAGAAATTTGTCAAGATGTTCAAAAACCTATATATCAACATACTATTCTTTGAAGCACTCGAGAAAATGTCGTTGTACCATAAATTCATGAAGGATGTATTATCAAAAAAGATACCAACAGAAGATGGATTGGTCCCAGTGATGAGAAATTATGTGCAATCCCACCCGAGAGAAGAATACCTATCAAGCAGAAGGATCCTGAATCAGTTTCAATATCGTGCACTATAAAAGACAAACTTTCAAGAGGGTTCTAATTGATTCTGGTTCTAGTGTGAGCTTAATGCTATTATCTATCTTAAAGAAGCTTGGTATTGAAAAGATACGCGAGAGTGGGACAAAATTAAAATTTGTTGATCACACCATTAAATAATCATATTTGATAGCTCAGATGTATTGGTAGAAATTGACAATTTTGTCTTTCCAGTTGATTTCCAGATCATGGACATACCTGAAGATGAATAGACTCCTATCATTCTTGGTTGACCATTTTTGCTTACTAGTCGATGCAATTTTGATATCGAGACAGGTAATATGACGTTAAAATCATTTGATGAGGAGATGACTTTGAAGGTGTTGGAGATCAAGAAGCAAGGTTCAGGTGGAAATAATCAATCTTTAATTGGTATGATCAAACTAGAATAAGAAAACAAAATTTTGAAACCACCTCCAGAAAAAGTCTCAAGAATAATCTCTCAGGTGGCATCATCTCATGCATCTATAAAAATTCCTAAGTTCATTAAAAAAGTCAAGAAAAGAAAGAAAAAGGAACATCAAGGTGAAGAGATGGAAGTGACTTGAGGCACAAAGTGGTTCATACTTTTGATCTAGATGAGTTTTGGGTTGCAGGAAGGACAAGCAACAAGGTGTGGAGGAGGAAGTATCCCCATATTAAAGGGGAATGAGCTGTAGAGCCATTTGACGTTAAACGGAGTGTTTCATGGGAGGAAAACCACACTTTTAATGACTAAGCATTTTCTTTTTGTGTTTTTTTTTATTTCGTCTACAAGTAATAAACAAGGCCTTACAGGTGCAAGCTATGATGCAGCAGTTGGTGTTGTATTACCTTCCGCCTAACGCTCCAATTGTCTCTTAATTGTTAGTAGAATTGTCTCTTAATTGCAAACCAATCAATTGTAAATGATGGTCTAACGCTCGTTTGGATTGTCCTTTAAATTTATCTTGATTAACAAAAAATCAAGGAATTTTTATGCTTGCACGCCAAAGAAGCATTTGATGGGACATGTTATAGTCCTTGACTGACCCCCGTGATATCATTAAAGGTAAACTCATTGTTAGGAATCTTTGTATGTACTTGTTGGCATTTTCATTTATTTTCCAACTGTCATAATATAGTTGGGTTGAACTAAAAATGAACTACATTTAGTTGATCGACGATTTCAATCATCTTCCTTGTGTTTATTGTCTGCCTTAATCTCCTAAAAGCATCTGAACTTCTGCTGCTAGGGCAGCCATTACTCTTTCACGTTCTTTTTCTGTTTCACTATGTGATGGTTGGTGATTTGTGACCTTTACATATATAATTGTGTCAATGCTATAAGTCAAATTTTTTATATAAGAAACAAAAAATAAAAAATAGTACGTGCATTAAGCAAATTGGGTTGGGCCGGTTGATGTAATTGGTAGGCCGGACATTTGATTAGTAGAAGCGACTCATGGGTTAAGTTGAAACGAAATGAAACACTGTAACTCAACTATTCTCCATGCACAAAGTAGTGCCTATAAATAAATAAATCATTCATGAGAAAAATAACAAAAACATTCATAAGATATTGATTTCTGTCTTGAATAATATAATGTCCATAAGTTTGCATGTGGCTCAGCCAGGCCCAACAACACTGTTCTCAATCTTCTCATTAGCAATCCTCCTTCTACCGAGATCAGGTAATGGTAATATAAAAACTTATGGATATCTATTTTATTATTCTATTATAAATAAATAAGCATGATAAACATGTTAGTGTTACTCATTTTTCAGTTTTCATGGATGATTTCGGTCAAAAGTATTTCTACCTAGTGAACGGATGCAAATACAGAGTATGGCCAGCTTCCTCTTCTACCGCTGGAAACACACATCTTGAAATAGGCAACTTCAGTTTAAACACGGGCGACGAGTTCAAAGTTTGGGCTCCTTCGACTTGGAGCGGCCACATTTGGGGCCGAACTCGCTGCATTAATAATTTATCCACGGGAGGAAACTTCTCGTGCATTACCGGCGATTGCGGTACTGGGAAGCAGTCATGCGATGGGATGCGAGGCCTGCCGCTCGCCACGCTAGCAGAATTCCGTTTAAGCAACAACAGTGGTGCTCATTTTTATAACATTAGTGTTATAGAAGGTTTCAATATCCCCATAGAGGTGACTACTATGGGTGCTTCTTGTGGGTACCAGAATCGCAATGGGACAAACACGTTTACTTGTTCATTTAATGTTTACAAGATCATGTTTTGCCCAGCTTTCAGGTTAGACCATGCAATTCTCTCACTATCTAATATCATTTACAAACTCTTTCAATGTAATGTAATATCAACTTATTCCTATTTAAGATGTGTTACTCTTTATAAATTTTTTTATATTGTAGCACGGGAACTTTCGATCAAAGTGTGAGTGTAGGTGAGTCACTCACTGCTGGCAATGGGACAGATCGATGGGTTTCTCTTTCGGGAGAGTTTGCTTTTGGATTTTATCAACTTCCTAATGATCTTTTCTTACTAGCTATATGGTATGAAAAGATAAATAGTACTGATTCTATTATTTGGTATGCAAAAGGTGACAATCCTATTCCAAATGGATCAAGATTAGTATTAAATGACTCTCATGGGTTGATGCTTTCCAACCCTCAAGGTTTAGAGTTATGGAGATCATCCTATTTTACTTCAAGTAGAGTTTCAATTGGTCTAATGAAGGATGATGGAAATTTTCAATTATTAGACCAAAATAAGGTTATATTATGGAAGAGTTTCAGTGATTCTACCGACACATTAGTTCCTGGTCAAGAATTGAATTCAAATAGCTACCTATATTCTCGAAAAGGAGAATTCAACTTCTCACGTGGAATGTTTGAACTTTCTTTACAGAAAAATGGGCATGGTTTACTCCTTAACCATGTAAATTTTCCTACAAAGACATACTACAGTACTCATAGTGGCGTTTACAATGAAAGTGGTGTTGTTGATCCAAATAATGGTGACAAATTGATATTTGACAACTCACTCTTCTACTTATACATACTTAAAAGGAATGGAGGAAAAATTTCTATCACCGATCCAAAAGATTATGTTTCAAATAATGCATACTACTACAAAGCCACTATCACTTATGATGGTGTTTTTACCCTCTCATATCACCCTAAATATCAAAACAATAGTCAAGGATGGGTAATTGAAAAGACAATCCCAGAAAACATTTGTTTGGATTCTACATTCAACAAAGGTCCTGGTGTGTGTGGGTTGAATAGCATTTGCACCCTCATAAACCAAAGGCCAGTGTGTACATGTCCAGAAGGATATTCTCTAATGGACTCAAATAACATTTATGGTGGTTGCATACAAAATTCCCACGTCACTTGTCAAGGTAGGAATCAAGGGTCCCAAAATGATACACATGTGATGATGAAAATTCCTGAAACTTATTGGCCTTATTCTGACTATGAAACAAAGAGGCATAGTAGCTTACAAGATTGCACAGATTCTTGTTTGAAAGACTGCTTATGTGCATTGGTATTTTTCAATGAAAGTTCTTGTTTGAAGAAGAAACTACCACTCTCACATGGGAGAAAGGATATCTCAATACAAGGAATTTCTATCATGAAAATGAGAAAAAATGATACTCTACACTCCCCTCCCAATTTGATGAAAGGTAATGGTACTTTGATCAATGTGATGTCAATTATTTTTGGATTCTCCATTGCTATAGTTATAACATTGGTTGGTGCAATTTTTTATTGGTACAACTCAAAGAAGATAAAAAGTAGCACAATCAACAAAAGAGTTGTTGATAGAAGTTTGAGAATATTTTCTTTCAAGGAAATTACACAAGTAACAAACAATTTCAGGGAAGAATTAGGAAGAGGGTCTTGTAGCATTGTATACAAAGGAATGGTAGATGTGGATACTTACGTTGCAGTAAAAAAACTGGACAAGTTGTTTCAAGATAGTGATAAGGAATTTCAAACTGAAATGAATGTCATAATCAAAACTCATCATAGGAACCTTGTACGTCTTCATGGGTATTGTAGCGAAGATCAACACAGGATTTTGGTGTATGAGTTAATGAGTAATGGTACTTTAGCAACATTTCTTTTCACACCTTTGAAACCAAACTGGAACCAACGAGTTCAAATTGCCATTGGGATTGCAAGAGGTCTTGTTTACTTGCATGAAGAATGTTCCACCCAAATAATCCACTGTGACATAAAGCCACAAAACATTCTTCTTGATGATGACTACAATGCCAGGATTTCCGATTTTGGGTTAGCAAAACTATTATTGATTAATCAAAGTCACACAAAAACCGGAATCAGAGGAACCAAAGGTTATGTTGCACCAGATTGGTTTAGGAGTGCACCTATCACTTCTAAGGTTGATGCTTTTAGTTTTGGTGTGTTGTTACTAGAGATTATTTGTTGTAGGAAAAATGTAGAGGATGATACTGTCAGTGAAGAAAAAAGGATTTTAATTGATTGGGCATATGATTGCTACAAGACTGGAAAAATAGACGTTCTTTTAGAAAATGAACATGGGACAGTCAATGATATGAGTATATTTGAAAAATTTATCATGATTTCTATTTGGTGCACTCAAGAAGATCCATCTCTAAGACCACCAATGAAGAAGGTTTTGTTAATGCTAGAAGGGATCGTTGAAGTTGAAATTCCTCCAAATCCCTACTTGTATGATTCTTCTAATCAAAGTTAGTTCTCTTTTAAATTTTATTATTGTATGTTATATTTATGCTCATGTAAGAATTGTACTATCTTAAACTATATATTGTCACGTCAACTTCTATTCTAAAAAAATGTTACAACTTTATTAATATCTACTCTCTCATATGAATTAATCATAATTAAATATAATTGTTTCCCTTCTTTAATTTAATTTTAATAAAAAATATTTAAATTTCTTACAAAAAATTAATAATGATAATAGTAAATGTTTTGTTATACATTATAAAGTATAAATATCACTAATTTACCAAATATTTAAGAGGGAAAAAGTATAGACTATTTCTAATTATAAAAATTTATTTAATGAAAAACATAAAATACTCTACTTACACCTCCTCATTTATTTGCATTATTCCTAATAATTATATCAAAAAATTTATTTTAAATTTAGAAAAAACTATTAGTCAAATAACTAATTCATTTTAGTATGTGATAAAATTAATTAAAAGGTGGAAAATAATTTTTTAAATTATTTGTAAAAAATAATTAATTTAAAAGTGTTATAAATATTAATACCAATAATAAATGTCTTAATTTTGACACTATCAATATTATTAATAAATTAAATATATAAAAAAAAATGTTTTAAGTTGTAAACAATAAATGTTACTAATTAACCGGAAATCTAAATGAGAAAAGTAAAGACTATTTCTAATTATAAAGATTTATCTGAGGGAAAACATAAAATAATCAACTTACAACTTCTCAATTACATACATCATCTCTAATAATTATAATAATAACTTTATTTCAGGTTTTGAAAAATAAATTAGTTGGACACCTAATTCATTTTAGGATGAGATGAAATTAGTTGAAAGATACAAAAAATTATTTTTGAATTATTTCATAAAAAATAATTAAATATAAAATCTTTATAAAATTTAATAATACCAATAGTAAATATATTTATTTTGACAATATCAATATTATTAATAAATTAAATATATAAAAAAAAACATGAATTGTATCTAATTTCAAATACTTATCTATAGTTACAAATATATAACTAAACTTTTCATGATCACATATCTTGTTAAAAATGTTAAGTAATTATTTTTATTTTATAAAAAAAAAAATTAGTGTTATAAAAATTTAAAATGCGATAAAAATAATAATTTTTAAAAATCAAAAGAGATTAAAGAGAATCAATAATTAAAATTTAAAAAAAGTGCTAAAAATAATGATAATTAAAAATAAAATTTATGAGAATCAACAAATGTGAATAATAATAATAAAGTAAAAAATAAAAAATAAATAAAAATAATAATGATACCAATAAAGTAAACAAATGTTAATAATAAAAATTAAAACTAAAAAATGGATAATCAGTGATTAGTTAAAAAAATGAGTTATTATTTTTAAATAAATGGGTTAAAGAAATAAAAATATTAAATGTTTATAAAAAAAATTAAATGAAATAATTAATAGATTAAAAAATAAATAGTGGTTGAGTTTGTGGTTGGTTATTTATTAAAAGTTAGTGGAAGAAAACTTGATTAATAATTATAATTAATTAAAAATAATATTAATATTAACAATGATAAAATAAATATTGATAACTTTAATATATATGATTTTGATATTGAAATTTCTTCTAACTTAAGTCACAATTTTAGTTATTGTAGATGAAACAAAATTAAAAAATTATTTATATTAAATATAAATAAAATTCTAGAGTCATATGCAATTAAAGACAATTTCAAGATAAAAGCATTTTATTCAATACTATTTTGTAATGTAATTTTTTTCCATAATACATAATTCATCATTTAAGTCAAATAGCACTTAACTATTGGTCAATACTTGTCAATATAATTGATGAAACACCAAAAGTGTGAATATCATCTAGACTATTATTAATTTACTAAAACAATAATTGAATAAATATAAAAGTTAGTGGAAGAAAATTAAGAGTTAGTGATATTTTAATTTTGGCTCCAAAAATTGTTTAAGAGACTTAACAACTTTAATCTATAAGATTTAATTAATTTTAATGAATAATTATACATTTTTATTAATATTAATTTTTAAAAATAATTGATAATTACTAAAATAATAATTAAATAAATATAAAAGTTAGTGGAAGAAAATTAAGAGTTAGTGAAACTAATAAAATTATATTGAAGAATAAGTATCCATGTTACAAATTTATTTAGATTTATCATTACAAATTACAAGGGATTACAAGTTTATACAAACTAGCATTTTTAATGTTCTAAATTCCAGCCCAATATGATGTTGTTGTCCATATTTTCCAACCCTGTTGCAATGTAATAAAAGTCCAATTTTGTGGTATTTTGCTGTCCAAAAAATACAGCAAAGCAGACCCAAAAAAACTACTATAAAACAACCTACAAAACAATCTCAAAATTGTTATAAAATGCAACAATAATAGCCTAAAAAATGCACAAAGACAACAAGCAAAACAGTCCAAAAATGCTGCCAAAATATGCTGAAAAAAACTGCTATAAAATCAGCCAAATCTGTTGTAAATCAGTCTACTGTCCTGCATCAAAACATCCCAGAATTTGCATCAATATGACAACTAAAAATTGCATGAACAAAGCATGAAAATAGTTTGTTAAAATAGTTCAAAAACTCTATTGTTTCCCCCCCTAAATGTCTTACTCCTTCACTATAAAATCTCCTTCATCAACATAAAATATGTAGAAAAACTAAGGTAAAAGGAGAACACAAAAAAATTCAGCAAGTGAATAACAGAAAATTCAAGAAGGAGAGAAAAACCAGAAAAATAGAGAAAGTTTGTTCAAGCATCACAACAAACAATCAAGGCAAAAAGAGCTTGAGCATCAAGGAAGAACTTACTATTCTTTAAAGCTCCATCGGAGAGACTCCGATAGGTATTTATTCTTCCTTATTTACCTCTGCCTAACATTCTCATATAATCATCAATTTGAATCTTCTTGGCACCACTTTTCTTTTGCCATATAATGTGTGATTTATCTTATTCCTTTGCTGTATTTTTTTATTTGCTGCAATATGTGGACATTTTAAGCATGGTTAATAGTAATAATAAAACAAGAAAAACAAATTTTAAATATTAGAACAATAGAAATTATAGACAATATACATTATATTTGTTCAACCACATTGCCTCCTTACTAAACAGTACAACAAACCTACAACATCAGCAATAACAACTCAATAGCAATAACAACCGATCCTTACAAATAACCTCTTTCAACAAATGTTGCTTAGGGCTCCTTTATCCCTAGTGATAGAGTATTTCTAAAATATTGCCTCAGTGGAGTTCTGAACCTCAAGCTTATGGTTCAAAGATGCCCTCTTCTTTCCCAAGTGGAGATTGTTAACCTCCAGCGGTAGTATCTCCAGTGTAGCTGGGTTAGAATTCTTTTATTTAAGAATTTCTACGATTCCCCAGTCGAAGTCACTTTTATTGAGGACTTACATCAGAAGGTCCTAGTTTGCAGCAAGTTTCTCTTTATCCCTAGAAAGAGATGTTGGATTTGTTCCCCAGGAAGTTAAGATTTGGATTAGAGGTCAAGATTTTCTCTTTACTGCAATATATTTTTGCAGTATTTTCCCCAGGAGGTTAATTCCGCAGTAATAACAATCTTCAGAGGTTGGTGGTTCCGAATCTCGTTTCCCCATCGAATTTTAGAGGGATTCTTCTCTACAGAAGTTTAAATATGCAAGTATAATCGTTCAGAAGTCCCTGGTCTTCTCAGCAGCTGATTATTGACGTGTTTTCCCCAGTGCATTGCTAAACATGCATCATTACATTGCTTCTACCAAAACGCATAGCATTTCTATTATATGGAGCATTACGCTATACAAAATTCAAACATGCATTAAGGTTTAAGCCAGTTATGTTCACCTGTGGTAACCTATTTCCTATGTGCTCGGATGTGAATTATCTCCATAGTAAGCTTAAGGTGGTCCTATTCGGTTTCCCCAGCTGAGTCGATTTTGATTTACCACTAGTCGGGTCTTTGGTGCTTTCCATTTCCCCAGTGAGTCGTGGTTTTTCTATTGCCTTTGCAAGCCCTTGATTATTTTTACCTGTGTTTGCCTCGCCTTTTGAGTGAAGCTAAGAGTCGGTGTATAACCTTTCTTATTTCCCGAGTATTTGAGTATCCCTGCTTGGTGTGTGGTAATTCAGATAATTTCCACTCTTGAAGAATTATACCTCACCTTTAGCCTGAGGGATATTGCAGTTCTTGCGCATTTCCAACCTATCAAAAACCCAACATGTCTTGGCAATCTTTGTTAGAGTCCCCGCTGTTTGGTCTCTTTCTCTTATAGAGTTCACCTTCGATCGGTGCTCTCTAAAGGTCCTGCTTAGTCACTTATTTGTCGTTGGTATTCGCGCTAGTCAGGTTCTCATTCTGTTAGCTTAGTTAACCTTCTCTGTTAAGAGTCATTCACTGTCTCATCAAATTCCAATTGTCTGGCATCCTTGGTTAGGCGAATGCATCCTTTCTTGTGGAGGATTTCTTCGATTAGTCTCTTTCTTGTGGTCGCTACCAACTCTGAACATTGGTTTCTTGATGCCCCAATTTCGCTTTTGTGTGTCTAACTTTGACCGGACATGCATGTCATTATCCCCTTTGAATTATCTTTTGATTGGCGTTCTTTTCCTTAAATCCACCTTCGGTTGGTATCCTTGATTAAGAGTCTACGTTTGGTCGGTCTCTTTTCTTTGTAAGTTCGCCTTCGATCGGTGTTCTATTCGGAGTCAATGTCTATTTGTATCCCCAGTAAGTTTGCCTTCGATTGGTGTTTCTTCGTTAGAGCCTTCTTAAGTCGGTCTCTTCCTTGTATATGTCTAACTCTGGCCTAACATATATCACCATTATCCTTTGTTGAGAGTCTATTTCGGTCGGTCTCTTTCTTATGTGTGTCTAACTCTGACCAGACATGCATATCTTTGTCTTATGTTGAGTTGTTACTTGCACATCTTTTTCAGAACACAACATTCTGGTATTC